CCTGGGCAGAGCCCTCCTCTGTGTGGATATCATAGAAGGACTGTGGTATGTATGCTGGGGCAGGAGATTGCAGCCCAGTTTCCCATGAAGCATCTGAGTGTCCTTCAGCGTTGCCTCTCCTGAGAAAACAAACTTTGTTAGGTGCTCCTAAGGAGGCATAAAGCTGTTGGGTCTCTTTTTTCTTATGCCTAAAGATTTCAAAGAGCTCAGGAAACTCACAGTGGGGAGGTCTGTGGAGCTGCATACTCTGCGCTGGTCTTGAGGTGGTGAGTGAGGGTTGACCTTTAGCTCGGCATTGGTTCATATTTCATGGTTAATAAGGGAAGAGATGGACAGTTTCCTAGAAATAGCATGGAGATGCCCTTAGTCATATCTGGAATCTGTTACTGCAGGGACCAGTGTCACTTCTGTGAGTCAGAATTGGGAGCGCTGAGATTGTGCTCTCGATCAAGCCTTGGGACTTGACATGGTTCCCTCCCAAAGCGTCTGGGAGCAGCCACATGTTGATAGCAGTGCCTATTACTTTGCATTAGTCTAAATTTATTTAGCACAAGACTTTTCTTCCGCTGTGCTTAAACACTCTAGAGGGAAATGGGATCGCTTCCTTTAGGTGGATGTGGCTGGGGTTATCCAACTGTACTGCGTATGGATGCTAAACTCCTTCATATTCCCTTTTGCCTTTGACAGCTGTGTTGATGCTACCACATTCCTTTACTTCAGCTTCTTTGCACCTCTCATCTATGTGGCCTTCCTGAAAGGCTTCTTTGGGTGAGTAGCCAGGAGCAGGGGTTTGTAAAGTATGTATTGTTTAATTGTTCTGCACCCACGTTTTCCCCATCTGTAGAATAAAGGCAGTGACTAGAATGCTGCTTAGAGAACCAATTGTTTGTTTATGTCCTTGCTGTTTTCCTTGTGTAACCTAGGGCTGGTCAGTTCTCTCCAAGACTCCTTTGCATGCAAAGTGGAGCTGGTAGCTATGTTCCTCTTGAAAGTTCATGAGGATCAGTTCTTAAGTGTCTGCATTCTGCTATGTAAAATTTTGCTGCTGAAATTGGTAACTAAATAGTTAGTGAGGGACTGAGTCCTGGAAGATTAAATAGTCCCCTGGGTAGGGTTTTTGACAGCTCAGTAGAAAGGATCTCAGAATTAGGTAACCCAGTGGCTGTCATCAATCCTTTAACTGGGGGCTCCTCTAAACGGTGACCCTCTGGCCTGTTCTGAGAATGTTGAGAAGCATGATTCTTGGGTCGAGGGTGCCATCGTGTGACCGCTCAGAGGAGATGCATCTTGATAGGAAAAAGTGTTTCAGTGTTGCTGAAGCTCTACCTTCTATTGTCTGTGAGCAAGAAACAGTAGGATTTAAAATAATTAGGAACACAGAGTACTCCTACGTTATCCAAATGTGCTTCTGTGGCCTGCTGAAATCAGAAGGGAAAAGTGTCTGGAGGTAGGGATGGAAACCGCTGATCCTCGCATGTTTGCGTTTTGGTTTTCCTAATGCCCGTGAATGGGACTTGAGGCAAAATCCCCTTCTGTTGAAATGAGTAGCCAGGCTGCCATGGAGTCCAGTGGTGCTTGGATGTTGTTGCCCTTGGGTTGTCCCCTCATCCTAAAGATGAGCTCATGATTATGCTTCTCACATTGGAGTCAGGGTTCTCCCATTTTTATTCCACCTAGATATCCTGGTCTGAAGCTGCAGCTGGCGTTAGCTTTTATTCCTGTGATTTACCTGGTGCAGTAACTGCCATGCAGTAATGCAAAGACTTCTCTAAGGCCTGAATATATGGTTTCTTATTGCTGCTGTTGAGTTTCAGTTAAGGATAGGTGGCTGCAATGGGATACTGCACTGCTTAAACAAATATTTTAAATCTTTAATGACTCTAGGTCTGAGCCGAAGATCCTTTTCTCCTACAAGTGTCAAGTGGATGAACCTGAAGATGTAGACGTGCACCTACCCCACCCCTATGCTGTTGCCAAGAAGGAAGGAGTGGATTCTGGTTTCTACTCAAGCACTCAAATTGACACTGCAGCCTACCTGGATGATGTAGCCTCTATGCCATATCATGTGGGCAGCATCAACAGTGTAGACAGTGACCGCTGGAAAGCCATCAATGCCTAAGGCAGTGCAGCCCCCTTCACACGATGCCTCGTTCCTTTCCTTCCAAACTCCTGACACCACAACTGTTAGGATGTCCATGGGAAATCAGTCCTTGGCTATCTGCCATGGCTTTTTCCCTCTTCCTTAGGACTTCCTAAACCTATTGAGAAACAGTTGGCAGCCCAAATCCCCTTGGAAAGGACGTTTTCTGTTGCTACCCGAGAACAACCTGGAGCAGTTTTGTTCATAAATCTATAAACACTGAACCTTCCTGTTCCTCCATGTTCCAGATGCAACTCTGACCCAGAAGACAGGCCTGGCTGGTACCCCTTCATTTTCAGTGACTGGAAGCTCCTCTTTGTCCATTAGGGGAATGACACTTAAGGATGAGGGTGTTGATTTGACTGCTGTATTATGCATATATAGAAAGTGCTTAATGCTTGGAGCCAAAGATGGTCTTCCTGGGCTTTCTTGAGCAGCATGGTTGTGTGTATTTTGTCATAATGCAATTGCATAGGCTCCTCATGACAGCAGCGTCTGGAGAGGGAAGCTGGTCAGCTGTGCTCTTCTCCAGTTTCAGCTGATACTGATGAAAATCATGAATGGCAGTTTCTGGGGGATAAAAGGAGCATTAAGAGTGTGTGGGAAGAAGAGGGGTGTGAAGAGAACTGTTCAGTGTGCCCTGGGACTGTTTTGGGGTGCACTAGTTAATAGGTAGCAGCATGGACATGACCTGACAGGACAGGGAGACAGAAGGACAGGCAGCCATGCTGACTAGCTGAGCTGAAGCAGCTGTGAAACAGGCTCTGCAGACTGTGCTGCTGTGCAGCTGAACTCGCAGTGAAATCTAAGTAATGACACTGAGTCAAGGCTGAGTTCTAAGAGTAAAACATGTGAGGTGGATGTGTTTCACATGTGCACCCTGCTTCTTGGGTCTGGCAAGGTCTTGGAGGGGACTGTAAAGGAGGGAGCTGACTCTGCAGATGAAGGCTCCAGAGAAATTCAGATGCCTGAGGCAGAGCAGAGCAGGGGAGCTCTCAAACACCATCGGAGCAGTAGAATCAAGCTGACTGGTGTTCTAGGTTGGGAGGTAGGTGGGAGAGGGACACTCAGCTACTGCTTCTGTGGCAAGGTTCTTCTCTTATGTTGCAGTTTAGATGTCCAGATTTCTGTTGGTCTGAATAGGTTTTTTGGCTTGATACACTGAAAATACTTCTGTGCATGTGGAGTGTGGTTCATTTAAAGACTATCTGGAACTTCCTGTTCATCTCTTCCACTCTGGAAAAGGGACTGTTGTCTGAACTGCCTGGTACGCAGTTCCAAGACACCGTGGTGCAATCCAGGGACTGTTCCGCTGAAAGCTGCATCAGACTGGCTTCTGGGACATACTGAGCTCTCCAGGGATAAAGAGGTTTATTCTTCTAGCTTTGGAGGTTCCTTCCTACCTGGGTCCTCGAGGTAGGTGGAGATCTGCTATAACTAATGGCAGCTTTCCATTGGAGATGGCAGAATGAGGGAATATGAAACATTTGGGGACTGTGTGCATCTCTTCCCCAACTCTCCTGTTCCTGAAGAAGAATATTGAGGTAAGAGTTTTTTAGGAAATCCTCATGGAGGGAACAGTGCAGTGATAGTTTGGATCATGCAAAACACTGCTACTAGGTAGTAGCATTTGCTACCAGGTGTTTCCACTGTAAGGAAAGAAACAGTTTGGATAAGAGCACAAAGTGCATATTGGTTGCCAAAACTATGCAGGCCCTTTGCTTATCTTCTTAGTTAATGAGCAATGCAGCCTCTCTGTTCTGCTGCCTGTAGACTTTGCCCTGCAGGCTTCCAAGTAGCATTGACACCTTAAAAACAAAAAACCTCCCCTCAGTTTTAAATACATTTTTTTTTTTTTTAAATCTACTTTTAAGGAAAAAAGGCTTCCGTTTGTCCATATGTTTGAGCTGAGTTATACCATGTGGTTCAACAGCCTTTCACATTTCCCCTCCGTGCAATGACTGTGTAAAGGGTGGACAAGCAACTGGCCAGGTGAGCTTTTTGCCGCACAGAAAAATGTTCTATGCTCCTCCCATCATTTGCTGTGAATCGGCCTGAGCCACACTTACTTGCTTACTGTAAAAGGGATGGATGACATGGTCTCTCAATTGCCCTGCTGCTGCTCCTAATGCTGCTCAACTACACCAGTAGTGAGCTGCTGTTAGCCACTACAGGGAAACCTGCAAAGCTTCCCTGGAGCTGGTGGGCCTTGGACAGGGCCAGGAGATGTGGAAGTCTTGAAGCAGTTCAAGAATAAAGGAGCAAATGCTTTCCCATCCCAAGGAGTATTTGCTGCCTCTTGAACACCTTGAATTTGAAAGGACTTGCCTGCCCTCCTTGGTGATGTGAAGAGCAGGTTATGAATTTGTCTTTTTATCGGCTAAATTCAGTGCTGAAGGATCGCCTTGGTAGGTGGTCAACATGTCCATCCTCTCCTTTGTTGGCAGGACTCCAGTGTTTCTGGAGCGTCCCACATTCTGCTGCTGAGGAGTTTCTGCACTAGGTCATGGACTGACCTTCCTCTTGTTGTATTTTTATGTATATAAATGCCTTGGGCCATATTCACAATGGTCCTTGAGCAGAAGTGTGTTATGTGTTTGTGGGGGGAGGGAGATGCGAAGAGACTAAATATAGAGTAAATGTATATTTTTTGTTTGTAAAATAAAGAAATAAAATTAAATTTGGCATAAATAGTCCTACTTTCTCTCTCAAGTGACGCATGTTAAGGGGGAAAATATTTTTGGAATTTTTTCTTTAAAAAGCAAAAGATAAAACCCTGAACAAATATGGTGGATATTAATGGAATGACAGAGCTGGAGACTTTGGGTTCTTGGAAGTCTATTACTAGGACAGCAGCTGACAGTGCAGAGAGTGGTCTCCAGGTCTAAATAATTAGTGAAGCTCTGACTCTTCCTGTTAACTAGATCTTGCTGTTCCCTGGCATGTCCGGCATCAGGGATCTCCGCTATAGGCCCGTCTTTCTTGCTTGGAAAGGGGCTCGTGTGGAACTATGAGCTGACTGTTGTACGCTTTATTTTTCCTTTGGGCTTTGAAATGAACTCCACTTAAGTATTTGGACCAATTTTTCTGGCTGTACAGGGGACAGTAGCCTGATGTAACAGCTAAGAGCTGGCAGTAGCCAGCACCTGTCAGCCGCTCTTTGGTGGAGCATACAGGCTGGGGAAATGGAGTAAGCTTTGTCTCTAGCCTGAGAGTTAAGTCAGGTCTTTGTGCAGTAAAGCCTACTAGCCTTACCTTACCAAGCTCCTGCCAGACTACCTGCAAAAAACGGTAGGGGTTGCCCGAGGGACGCTAACCACAGGAGTTAACTTGACAGCATCATCTGCTCCTCTTCACATGGATAAGGGAAGGGTTTGAGTTACTGTACAGGTGCTCTGCCACCATCGCAATTGCTTCCACCTCAGTATTCTCAGGCTCTGGGAGATCACAGAAAGGCACAGCTGTAGGTCTGAATTGTGTTTTTGTTTCTTTGCACGCTCCCCCTCCTGCTATGTTTGCATCCTTGCAGATGTTGCCTGGCACCTGGCTGGAGTTGTACCTGGAATTACTCCTGGAAAAGGCCTAAGGAAGGGTGACAGAATAATTAAAGTTGTGGGTTGTAGGAGAAGCAATTACACGATTGAGAACTCATCAGCCTGGAAGAGCAAGAGTAAAGGTCTCTGAAATCCTGAGAGGACAGAGGAGGTGAACAGGCAATGACTGTTCAGGGGCTCTTTCAGTACAAGAACTGGGAGCCATCAAATGAAATTGGTGGGTGGCAGATTAAAAATAAATGAGAGGCTGTGAGAATATTCTGGGAGGAATTGCTATGCTCTTGCCTCACTCATGCTTTCTCCTAGATATCAGCTGTTGTCCCTTTCAAAAGCAGAGTTTTGGCTTAGCCAGACCTGCTCTCTGACCCTGCGCAGCATTTCTATGCTGCAGTGCAAATAGCTGATAGTACCGTTTTGTAGTGCTCTAGTCTTGAGAGGTCAAGCAGTAAGCAAAGTCTGCAATGTGCTAGGTGTTAACCCAAGTAACAGAAAAATATTCTTCCCTTTCAGTAATATGCTGCAGGCCTGGATTTCTTGGGGAGGGAGTGGGGATCCTTCCTTAGACCTGGCCGGAGTCCCATTGCTGAGCCAAACCGGTGGTTTCCATGTTAATTATAGTGAAGGGTAAGCATTAAGCACAGTGAAAGCTGTTCTAACACACAACTAGTAAGTAGGAAAGCAGTGTGTCGATAGCAAGGCTTCAGTAAGTGTCTAGCTACAAATGCACAGAGTTGTATAGGGCATGATGTAGCCTGTACTGCTAGGAAAAGCTCCTCCAAAAGCTACTATCTCTTGCTCCGGCTGCTTGTGTTTTACATTATCTTCTTTCTCTTTCCTTTATTTTGCTTCTAAGCGCTTGGAGGCAGGGTCTGTATCCTGCTGAGGGTTTATATGACCTGGAGCACAGTGCGATGCTCTCATCTACATGGCACCTGGGAACGTGCCTGTCATAGCAAGGAACGTTACAACTGTTAAGTCTTTGCTGGCTTAAAGGAGATGATTAATTTTGCCTGCAAAGCAGCTGCCATAAAATTGACTGTAATTCTTATTGACTGTAGCCTATGTTTGTTTTTCATCATCAGAGAAACGTGAGCTGCGCTGGGGTGATGACGCATTCCCTCAACAATTATGGAGAAAAGGTGGATAGAGAGGGACACGGGGTGCGCCGGTGGGGTGGAGGGGGATGCCTGTGCTCGGCGCCGGAGGTGGGCTCTCATGGGGCACGGGGCCTAGACGGTGAGGGGGGAAATTGCCTGGACCCCCGTAAGGGCTTGTCGCCCTGGGGATCTTCCACAGCCGGCAGCATCTTGGTCGCGTGCAGTGGGTGCTCGTCTGTCTCGTCCAATTTCCTGAATCTAAAGGAATATCTTAAAGTATAAGCTCTATGCTTTCCACTTTTATTCATTTACTGTGTGCTAATTTGGGCTTCTTTGCTGTTTTCCTCTGCTAATTTTTGCCCAGTAAAGAAACCCGTTATATTGGCGTATCAAAGTGAAAGTGTAAGGGGTAGTATGATAAAAAAGTGGGCAAGATCGGCACCTCCACTCCCGAGGGGAAGCTGCAGGAGAGCCGAGGGGCAGAAATTGAACCTGAACGTGCTTTGGTGCAGATTGTTTACTGCTGAGGGTAGCTTTTTCCAAACTGATGTGCTAGGATTGTTATTTTTAACTCCTCCTGAAGCAGTTTGAGTTTTTAGGGGAGGGAGGTTTGCCTGGCACAAGCGACGGAGGGCCAGGTTTGGGAACGCGGCTGTCTGCTGCATCTCCTGGGCTCGCCGCGGAAGGACGGCGCCGGCAGAGCCCCCCGGGGCCCCCAACCCGGGCGGCGGCCGCCGCACGAGACTACAACCCCCAGCCTGCACCGCGCTGGCCGCCAGCAACGCGCCGCGCTATTGG